TGGTGATCCCATTATTGAATTAAGTAGACCATGTGACCATAGAGGAAATGCATATATGTAGGAAATAGCTGATGACTAATAATCGCCATTTCTAGTCTATCCTCTATTACTATTCGGATCTGACTTTCTCTTCTATTATTATATGGACCGCTATTCTCTACTCTAATCACTATACTATTTCTCTATTTGGATCACTATATGGATTACTATTAATGAGTATTATCAAGCGAGTACTATTAGTATGAGATTATTTGAAGACGTCTGACACCAGTATTGTTTAATGGCGTATTATAGTCGTATCTGCGATTACAAAGTCTCTACTACAATGAGCATTACAAAAGTATCAACAAGTATTTGTTGACATGACAAAAGCAGCAATGAGTGTTCGTTGACATCACAACAGTGGCAACAAGTGTTCATTGGCATCCCAAAAAAATAAAAAATAAGAAGTAATAGGGTTTTATGTACTTAAATATATAAAAAAAACTTGTACTTTTCCATCAATATAGTTTCCTTATTTACTCTTACGGACATAATACGATAACAAAATCATTTTATAATGGTGACATTTTAATTTGATTTTTCAAAATAAAATCTATTATTTCTTTTTCCTTTGTCCACTAAAAACTAGAAGGGACACTAAAGACAATATGTAACAAGAAAATTAAAAGCTAAATGATACATCCATAACATTTTAAATGAGGTGTTTGGAAAACCAACAGTATTAATGCTGTAGCAATGCTCCACAGTACTAACAGAGGGTTAATTAAGATTATATACACACACACATTGACGGAAGTGTATACAGAAACAAACCACACACACACAAATGCATAAGAGGAGCATCAAAACAAAACACAGACATAAATACAAACACAAAACACACAGATATATGCTAACATACAAACACACCATGCCCCCAGAATAAATACAAAAACACGCATGAAAACCCAGATACATGTACATTGTAAAATAAAAATGGTTTCATCCAAGCTGACTTTGAAAAAAAAATATTATGGCTTTAAAAACAGACATTTTATAAAGTATATATCAACATATAAGTACAAATACAATAAAACAAGAGAAATAGCAATGAAAGAAGTTACTTACCATGTATATACATATACAAATATATATATATCCAAATAAGATAAAGAAAAAAATGAATTAAAAATCCACAGTTCAAAGCATTTACTTTTTAAGAAAGTGCTCAATACAAAGTAGTTCAAAATATTATTACAATATTTTTATTATATGAGATTATAATAAAAACATTTTACATCACTAGACAAAAGCCTTCATTTTTCAATACTATGATTGTACTTCCTCGGGCGAGGGTTGATATTGGGTCCAGTTATGTGTATGTGAGTGTTAATATATATCTTTTAAAATGTCTGTTTTCAAAGCCATAATTAAAACAAATTCAGCAAACTTGGACCTTCATACCAGCAAACAAATGGAGTGTCAAAAGGACGGTTTTTCCTTGACACCACTATTATCTTAACTACCTCCACTCCTCGGCAATATTTATTGTTTTAGAAAACAATGATTAGAATTTTAATAAAACTTAAACATTTGAAATTTAATTTATACACTTTCTTTGTTCTTGAGAAATGACAACAAAATTAATAAACATTATTTATTTATTTATTATATTGTTTATTGGAATGGTTGGCAAAATATCAGCTAAATGCCAATTGATTCAAACTTTATAAAATGGTAAATAATAAGATTATAATTATAATTGGTTCACATATTTTAATAATTTAGTAAATGTTTATAAATTTATGAATAAAAATTGTTTTTGTATTTATTTCTTTATAAATTGGTAAATGATAAATGTTGCATTAGTTTTAATACAATTGTATTATTTTTTAGAATGTTGTAAATATAAAATTATTCTTGTGAATAAACAATCTAATAAATAACAATTAATAATTTTGTCGCAAAATCTCAAGAACAAAGAAAATGTATAAATTCACTTTCATCATGTTTTATTACAATTCTAATAATCACTTTTGAAAACAACAAATATAACCAAGCTATGAAATTAGTTAAAATAATAAAAAATAATAAATGCCAATGGGAAAAAAGTGTCCTTTTGTCAAACATTATTTTACAGGCAAAAAAGTTCAAGTTTAACACAAATTCTTAATATGATTTAATGCCAACTATTTTCATAATTTATTTTTAATCTTTTATGAGGGCCAATATTTAATTTATTTCAGATTTTTTAAAAATAATTCTTATTGTTTTTTTTTTCTACAATGCAAATGACAAATAGGAAAACTTTTAGTGACTAAAATTGAATTTAATTCCAGCAATTTAAATTGAATAGGCTGACACCTACAGCAGAAACATACAAGATGACTTAATTTATACATCAGAACTTTTTCCTTACGTCAGCACAATGCATAAATATCAATAGTTTTCATGCATCTATTAAACATGAGCTTACATTAAATTCAACATCTAGTCATGTGACTATCTTATCTTTTACAAACATGAGGAAAAACAAAAAAAAAAAACAAGTAACACAACAAATAAGGAAAAGTGTCTTTTCATAAAATGATAGAAAGTAAAATTCAGATTGTCAGGAGGTGGATGGAATGAAAATGATATAAGAAAAATGAAAGAAAACTAGTATACATTCTTTTACTTAGGCTGGTGTCTCCAATTTGATTTTTATAGTTACAATCTTTCAACCATTGTTTGGTAAACTTCTTTCAAATTGAACCTCTTATTCAATCCAATGGATTAGATTATTATTATTTTTATTATTATCTTTATTTTTATTATTATATAATTATTATTTTTTATTTTTATCATTATATAATTATTATTTTTATTATTATTATATTATTATTATTTTATTTTTTTTTATTTTTTATTTTTTTTTATTTTTTTTATTTTTTTATTTTATTATTATTTTTATATTATTTTTTTATTTTTTTTTATTATTATTTTTTATATTATTTTTTATTATTATTATTTTTATTCTTATATTTTATTATTATTATTTTATTATTATTATATCATATTATTATTTATTTTATTATTATTTTGTCTTTATTATTATTATATTATTTTTTATTTTGATAATTATTTTTATTTTTATTATTATTTTTTATTTTGATTATTATTTCATTATTATTATTATTTTTATTATTTCTTCTTATTATTATTTTTATTATTATTATTTTTATTATGATTATTATTATTATTTTTATTATTATTTTATTATTATTTATTTTTATTATTATTTTTATTATTATTTTTTGTTATTATATTATTATTATTTTTTATTTTTATTATTATTTTTATTGTTATTTTTATTTTTGTTATTATTTTATTATAATTATTATTATTATTATTTTTACCTTTATTATAATTTTTATTAATATTTTTATTATTATAAATTATTATTATTATTATTAATAATAATAATAGTAATAACAACAACAACAAGAACAACTAGCAGGGTGAGTGTAAATTACAGTTAACTAATAAACTTTTAATGTACTCTGTACTTTTCAAACTGTGACCAGTAGCAGACCTGAATTTTAGTTGCCCTGAAGCTTGAACAGATATTGGGGTCCCCTTTGCAATCAGCAACAATAGATTCCAGGGTCCAACTGCCAAAAGGTAGACTATAAATAGATTCTGTTGAGCTCAATGAGTCTATACAGCTTGAGGTGGGATGCTGCAAGCCCACAAGAAATTTTTTCAAATTTGACTAATTACAGAAATACTCCCCTTCCAATCACCCCCTCTCTCTATGTTGCACTGTCTCTCTATGTCCCCCTCTCTCTCTATGTTTTAAGCTATCATTATTTCTTGATTTGAAATTCATCAAATGTTACTAACTACAATGAACACCTGGGAAAAGCTGTAGAGTACAGTAGCAGAGATGCTGTGATCATAACAACAAAGGTGAGGACACTAATCCAAATAAATCAGTCGGAAGTATTTAGGTTAATGGCTCTCTGACCATAAAGAATAAAGAAAAATTTCAGGGGAATATTTTCTTTAGATTAACATTCTTTTAACATTCTTCTACTTACGACATTTGTGAGAATAAAAAAATATTTTACAAGTAGAGTCCTGTTCATGATATAAATACAGTGACAAATTGATTCCCAACTTTTTAATGGGTTATCTGTACTTTGTTTTTATTTACAAATGTCAAGTTTGAAACTGTATCCATGTTATTAATAACTGCATACTCATGATGTCTTTTTTCCCAATTCATAGTCAGCAGTGAATACTTAATATTTGAAAATAAAAATAAAGTAAGGATAATTGTTTATGAATTCAGGGACCAATTTAACACTGCTTAAATTATGAACAGGACCCTCTTTCTAAAATGATAAATAAACATTAATATTTTTTTTTATTCTTACAACTGTTGTGGATAGAGGAATTGTCTAATGAACGCTAGTCTAAAAAAAATTATTTTAAAAAATTCTTCCCTTTTTTTTCCAAGCAGACCAGCTAAGTTAGTGTCAATGATAATTCCTCATCTCAAAAATTCAGACATAAAGAAAAGTTTATACTTTCTGTTGACTTTCGATCATATATCAACTTTAATTTAAAAATTTTTTTTAAATCAAGTACATTTTTGCCCATAAATTAATTAAAATGCAAATCAATGTCTTTGCTTTGTTTTGAGATTTTTTTGTTTTGTTTTTTTTTTTTAAATTTTGTGTAAGTTTCTTGGCAGAAGTGAGGAACAGTAATTATACTCAACAGAATTTTATTTGAACTGTCACAAGAATTGTCAAGAAGAGACAAGGGAGCTAACTACTATCAAAGTCTCGCGTCTGTTGTCAATCAAATTTATCTGATCCTGAAGACTTGGAAATAAAAAATAAAAGGTAAATAAGATGGAAGGTGAAATACAGAAAAAAACATGTAAAGAGTGTAAAGAATGAAAATAATCTTTGAGTCCTTCCTTCAAAAATGTTTGGGCCAATGGAATCAATTGGTCATGGCTCCAGTTACTGATTGAAGTATTCGGACACATCCTTCATCATCTCGTCAAAAATCTCTTGTTCAGTGGCCAGCTACAAAATAAAATAAATAAATACATGACAACAATTTTTAACTATTTGAAGCATTGTAGGTTAAATTGTATCACACTTTTAAAGTGATAAGTCATTTTTGATACCAGTTTTTTTTGTTTTGTTTTTTATTTTTATATATCTAGGAGAACAGAAGATTATAGACTAACCCACAATTTTGTCTAGTACCCAGGTTTACCAAAAAGTTTAATTTTTTATGTCTGTTTTGAAAGTATTGATTAATATTAGAGAGATGATTGTAATGGAAAAACCTTCGAGGATATGACTGGTGACAGAGACAAATCAAGAGATAGAAGAGTGGAATTTGTAGGGAAGCAAAAGACGATTATCTCTCTTTGGTGGAGATAAATCATATGGGTCACATATGCTTAGTGGCGTCACTTCATACAGTGACAAAAGTGGCGTCATTCAGTCAGTAAGCTTATTAGTGTCAAGACACATGTTTGTCCATCTTGCCCAGCTGCCAAATGCTACAGTTTACAAGCCCATGGTGCTGTTTCCTTTTGGGAGTATTGAAAGAAACTTTGGCTTGCAATCCTCAATTTTTGAAAACACAAAACTCACCAGTTCCTCTTCAGAGAGTATGTCCTTGCCTGAGACATATTAGATAAAACTGGCCTGTTTGAATTTGAAGTCATAACATAGCTTCTCCAGAAAGACAGAAGAATCTCCATAGTATATATAAGACTCTTCCTTTTTGTTTCTCCTTACACTCTGCTCATTGTGATATGATATATTATTCTCTGCATAGGACACATGTGTATATATATATATATATATATATATATATATATATATAGTTTTGTGTATGCCTTAGTGATATAAAAGTCTCTCTGAAAATAAAGTAAGTTTGTTATTCCTTTTCCTTTCTGCCATTCTGTTCTGTCTGTGAATTACAGCCTTATCATGGTTATAATAATGCCCATAATGGGGGAAATACAAATGGGAAAATATTTTTTTTGGAAGCACCTGAAAAAATATTGGGGTATGATAATTTTTTATCTTAAAGGAAGAATAAACGAATATATACTTTTATTAATTTATGTAAATTTTTGGTTTTTAATAAAAATAAGAAAATATGTATATATAACTTTGTTTTTTATTTAAAAGAAATCTTTTTGTATGCAAAGCCAAAAAAAAAGTTTGTTTTTGATTTTATACTGTATTGATGTTATAAAGAGCCCCCTGTTTCTGAAGCAAAAGATGTTGACACAAATGATCTTCCTTAGGGAAAATCATCAATGATTTAAAATGATGAAAACATTAACTTCAATGAAAAAAACTTCAATAAACATTGTATTTAATCACTGTTTATGTATATATGATATGGTTATGTATATTTTATGTATAAATGTTATGATTATGTATATGTATATGTTATGTGTATATGTATGTGGTTATGTATATGCTATGTATACATGTTATGATTATGTATATGTATATATTATGTATATATGTATGTGGTTATATGTGTTATAGTTATGTATATATGGTTATTAAATGGAAAAAGTTTGACAATTATTTTAAGACATTGTTATGTTTATACATTCTTTTTATAGATACAAATATTTAAGCAAATGCTCTGTTTATAATAAACAGTATTAAACAACATTTACCGGCCTGATTGTCTAAGAAATTGTCATAGAAAATATTCATCCTCCAACAGAAATTGAAACTTTATTCTATATGGAACCATCATTTAGCCTGACGTACTTTTACCGATTGAGCCACAAAGGTGCGTTTCAGTTAACAAGGTTGATTTTACTGTTTTTAAACTACTATTCTCCATGATTTTCTCTCATACATTCTGCTCAATGTATATACAAATGTAAACAAATGACGTCATATATTATTATGAAATGGACAAAGTCCAACAAATATTTTTAAGACATTTTTATGTTTATACATTATTTTTATAGATACAAATATTTAAGTAAATTCTCTGTTTATAGGTTTATTTTCTATGAAAATTTCTCGGGCATTCAGGCCGGTAAATGTTGTTGATACTGTTTATTATAAACAGAGCATTTACTCAAATATTTGTATCTATAAAAATAATGTATAAACATAAAAAATATATGGTTATGTTTATGTATGTGAGTATGCATAAGAATGTGTGTGAACAAGTGAAAATGAAAGGAAACAAAAAACCAATTTAATAGATGTTATTTTTCTCGTGAAATTAGGCGTGGCATTCAGAAAGCCAATCCGGCCGCATGTGGCCCATGGGCTGCTGTTTTCCCATGACTAGTCTAAGGAATGTTATTCTATGGTAATTACCGCTCAAAGATGTTTTCCCTATATTTTACAAGTAAACCAGTCTACTTAATTTGTGCCTCAAGTAGTTTTCTTTTGCTAAAATAGAAACATTCCACAAATATTAAATGTTGAGACTTTCAATCCAGTTATTAAAATATTCTGTGCTTATTTTCTTTAATTTTTTTTAACCCATTAATATCCAAAATTAATTAAAAAAAATTATAATAAAAGTCTTATATTAATTATAATTTTCCTAATCAGTATTAATTATAGTTTTTTTTATTTATTTATAACCCATTAATGCCTACAGTCCCATTTTGTACAATAAGGGTTAAATTTTATCCCAGTTTTGTATCTGTGTGGTTGGCCATTTTTAACCCCTAACCTTTTGAGCCCTGCGTTCATGAACAATTTTAAGCCTTCTGCCTGAGCTCCTGAGTCAAAATTCGCAAATAATGTGTATTTAATGTTTCATGGTAGATATAAAAATAGTGCAAGTGTTTACCCACCATTCAACCAGTAACTGGGCATTAAGTTATTTTTTTCTACAACTGTTTAACCGGTGGCTGGACATTATGTCATCTTTCTCTACCACTGGTAAAGCAGTGGTCAGGGCTCAATGGGTCAACCCTAATGGAATATGCCCCAAGAAAATATCAGTTAACAACATTTTATTCTTGTTTATTTGTTAGCTGCTTCCTTCACCAAAGAAAATGGTCAAACTTTCATTTAGTCAGTCACATGTGCCACACATGATACATGCTTGGGCAATCATGTATTCTTTTGATACATGATTGACTAGGCAAATTTTTCCTGCAGTAGCTTGCCACTACTTTCTACAGTAGATTGGTTGCCTAATCTACTATTTAACCCATAGCTGGGGGTATTTCTGTGTGTAAGTGAATATGAAAAATCTGATTGGAATTTGAACTCAGCTCCCCAATCTCTCATTCTGAATCAATATCCATTACACCACAAACTGATGTATATTCCACATCATAGGCTAGCTATCATATTTGAATTTTTATTTTTAGGTTGGAACTACCCAAGGAGCTGTCTCTCCACTACCAAGGGAAGGCCAGAACTGGCTTCCTCAGTCACAACTGTGACTGTTAATATAGACCAGTAATCATCAATATCCGGCTTTACTGCCACTTGACCTCAAATGCTTCCTTTTACTTATTTGTTCTTTCCTTACCCTTTGGTCAAATGGGTGCCATTTAGAAGACCTGACTTCAAAAACCCAATCTGCTGGCCATAAAACAGAAACACCTGAGATTGGGATAAAAATCACATCTTCTTCTCCTATGTTGGTTGTCCCAATCATAGTGCCAGAAGGTAGCTGATGGTAATCCCAAAAGAACGACTTTGCAGATTATTTTGAAAATTGAAAGGAATGCTAGGATAAGTATATGAGGTCATAAGGGGAGTACTTTGAAGGGTGACTAAGGCATCCTAGGTAGGACATTTAAAAAAAAAAAAAATTGTTAGTATTAAATGGCTGGAGCTTTCCAGACACAGATGTGTACATATTGCTGCTGGGCTCAAAAAAGGTGACGAACACTTATATATAAAAATATATAAATATTTTTATTGTTCAAGTTACGGTGAATGGGTAGAATGTGGGAGGATCAAAGAGGTTAGGATTGCACACACAGGAATTGACAGAGACAATCTTCAGTGAACCTCTAGCCAGCATCTCTGTCCAAATCAAGAATTGGACTGGTTAAATAACATCTTGACACCTACACAACTTCATGTGGCTATGCCTTCTTCTGGTATGTTGCCTATGCAACTTTGTGTGGCCATGCTCCTTCCAGCATGCACCCATACAAGCATGCATTTCCTTCCACTCAGGACTCCTGTGCACCTTGTTTATTTTAGCCACCAGATGCATTTCTTTTTTATGCTATCACCTGTTCTGATTTCTGCTAACACACTGATGCAGCGAAAGTAAGGTCAAAGGTCTTTCCCCAATCAATATCTAACACATATACACACAAAAAATGATATGAATAATTGGTTTATTTAGTCAGCAAAGTTTATACTTACTTTGTGGCCTTGATTGTCAGCAAGTTCCTGCAACATTTTGCAGTAGAGCCTCTCCTTGACGTCTCGTTTGTTCCTCTGGTGCTGAGGGATCATCACAAAGTCTAGTATCTCGGCCTCATGAAACATTTTATTGTGAACCTTGTGACAGCGTACTTGAGAGTGGTAACCTCTGGCAATCACCCTGATCTGATAGTAGCCATCGATCAAAAGACGATAATAGTCTCCATGTCGACCTACAAACACAGAAAGAGGGGGTCAGTCATTTGAAAACTTATCCAATGCAAATTTGTCTGTCTGTTTTTGTAAGTTGCTTATATGCTAGTAATCAGTTCAGTCCCAGGTAAAAGTTAGGATTTCTGAGTCATGAGTTTCAAGACAAACTGACCAGGGCTGGAGCATACTACCCCTAAAGACCCCAACAAGGGAGGGGAGCCTGATTGAGGGTCCCAGTCAATTTTTTGTCACCCTCACTATCTTATCAACATTTGCTTTTTTTCTGCCTAAATTTATATACATTACAAATTAAACTAAGCACAGCTTTTAACGGATGAAAAATATTCACAGATTTTGATGTAATGAGGTTTTGTTTTTGTTTTTTTTTACTAAATCTGTGAATTTGTTTTGCACATGCTAGGTCTTAGAAAAACACAATATAAAATTCATTATATTTTTATCCATAATGTTCAATGTGTTAAAATTATTCAACTTTTTAATAATAAAAATCTCAAATTGCTGCAAAGCATTGTTGATTTATTTAAGATAGACTGATCTATTATGACATGTCTCTAATTTGTCTTTAGATACATTGTATTTATTTTCAATTTTTCTAGTTGAATTGTTCACCTATATTGCATATGATCCATTATTGTACATAATTAGGTTAGAATAAATTTTCTCTATTTTATATGAAGACTACCTTATGAAAAAGTGAGATATAGTAGAGTGGGTGGGGGTTTCATAAAATAGATTTGATGGTGTGGAGGCATGAAACCCTTCAAACAGTCCTGCTAAGCTTAACTTAGTTCTGCACAATACTTATCTGGGAGAAAATTCACTGAGACTAACTCATTAACCATCACTTCATAGTAGATATTCAGCTTAGCATAGTTCAGCACAAGACCGCAATAGAGGAGTACTAATCAAAGGCTAAAGATTTGTAATGATCTCCAAGATTAACTTGTTAACAATTTCAACTCCTTGTTAGATTAGCTTGTTTACCATCACTATAATTTGAGAAAAAAAAAGTGACAAATGATTGACTGTTAACAAGAATTTTTTAAATGATGTATTTTCATTTTCTTTTCATATTTTGGAAACCCAAATGTTGTCATGATCCCCCACAGTAATTTTTAGATTATGAATTGAAATTCCCTATTTTTATCCATAATGTTGAATGTGTTAAATTATTCAACTTTCTTTTAACAAGTAAAATCTCAAGTTGATGTTAAAAATTGTTGCAAAATATTGTTGATTTATTTAAGATGGAGGAATGATCTATTATGACATGTCTCTAATTTGTATTTAGACACATTGCATTTATTTTCTATTTTTCTAGTTGAATTGTTCACCTATATTGCATATGATCCATTATTGTACATAATTAGGTTACAATAAAATTTGTATTTTATTTGAAGACTACCTTATGAAAATTGAAATCTAGTATAGGGGAGCATCATAGAATCCGGGGTGGGGTGGGAGCTCAAGACCCTTGCACTGACCCTGGGTTGACCTACCCTATTTAGAAGACTTAATTTTCCTTTTCTGTATTTATCGCTTTGTAAGCTAAGCTTAGTAAATATCAATTGCTGAAGAAGCAATCATGTAAACCTGATTGCTTCCATTATGTATAAATTAATATTTTATTTATAATTTTATGATCTTCTATGCAATATGGATTTTTTACAACTATTTTAAATTATAAATTACATTTAGTGACCCAATGGTTAACAGTCTAGAAAATGGAATTGACAAACTAAGTTCAATTTCCAGCTGAAGCTCTGCATGTCCAATTTTTTTTTTTAAATCAGTATCACTCCATGCAAAGCAGTAAAGCCACTAAGACACAAGGGGTTATAAGGTATGACAGTAGATAGTGATTGACATTGCATTTAAATTTTTCCAGATTAAAGTTGGCTGGCAAGAATGGAGCCAGAAGGGAGTTCCACAAGTGAGAAGTGCAAGAAAAGAAATTGTTAGCATAGAATTTCCAGCTACATTTAGCCAGCTCAACTGTAAATTGATGAGACCTTGCTGCAAATCTAGTACTTTGCTTAAATTCATAAAGTCTTGGCACCATAGTGAAGAGCTCATCAGAACAGTTGCCATGGAAATATTTATAGAAAAGGCAAAGTAAGGGAACCTTATGGCAGTGGGAAAGTGACTGAAGCTGAGCTGCCAGATCAGGACTAATAATATTACTGATTCCTATGGATATTATCAAGGAGCTAATGCCCTTGATAAAGCCATCATTTTCCCCACCAACTATAAGATAACACAGCCTCTTTAATCTTCATTAACAACCAACATAAGAAAAGAACAACCCTAATTTCAAAACAAGTATGTGCAATTGGTATAACAGTTATTGACAGGAATCAGCAATTAGAGTTCAACTTCTGACCTAGTCATTATCATTCACTTTTGCACTAATGCCCTGGGAAATAGCATGATACCATTCATCTCAACTAGAGGTTCGATAGAAGAGAAGCTTGCACTCTCTAGCCTTGAGTAGTAGCCAGTCTAAGAGAAGAATAACTCTGAATTTTTTTCTTTTTTTTTTTACTAATGGTCACCCAACACAAGGCCAAAAAGCCACTCAAGGTAGAGGGTTACAGTGCGGAGTTGTATTAGCATAAGAAAAGGCAAGATAACAGGAAAGATAGAAAGCTAATTCAAGATCAAGATTTAATTAGTGAATAAAATGGAGGCATTAGAAGTATAGAGTTGAAGTAGACTTTAGAAGGAACCGGAAACCGAATAAAAAAAAATTTAGCAATAAACAAGTGACACAAATTAACCCTGTGTGTATATATAAATAGATGTATATATTTACAATCAAGTCGTTCTGATTGCACACATTTTCTCTCCAGTCTTCACGATTATGCATCATATCTGGTAGATTTGTTAGCTTAGCATCCTGTGTCTTCACATATTTGCTGAATGTATGTTTTGAATGGTTCAAAGAGGAGTCAATGGGAAACTATTCTACTGTCTTTCTCAAGAAGACGTCATTTTAAAGGTAATGGAGAAAAGGAATCTGCAGTAAACCATGATTGCTTATGGTTTAATTAATAAAACTTGTACGATGAAATCATTATTGCTGTACACAAAAAAAAATTCTTAGAATCTAAAAATATTTTCTGGCTTTAAATAACCTGCAAAGGGTGAATAAACTGTAAAAAACAAATCAATAAACAAGAATCAAAGATTATAAATATCTCCATAAGCCAAAGCAATGTTTAATAATCTGATTAAAGTTTTGAGCTTCAAACTAAAGACTAAACAGAAAATAAATATATTGTTTACTGGCAATGAAAAACCTTGTCAAAGTCCAAAACAACCATTTCTAAACTTAAATCTCGGTGTTGTGCCAGAAAATTTTTATCGTCCGAGTCCATCCTTCAAATCTATAAATCAACCATCAGGTCTTAAATGGAATATTGCTGTCATATATGGTCTGGTGCTCCTGCTGTATATCTTGAGGTCCTCAACAAAATCCAGAGACAAATATGCAGTATGATAGGTCCTAATCTGGCATCTAGTCTACAATCACTATCCCACAGACATGCCATGGCCTCCCTCTGTCTCTTCTACAAATATTTTCATGACAACTGTTCCGACAATCTACTTTCACTGGTCCTCAGACTGCATGAATTTAAGCGAGCTACTAGGCTAGCATCTCGGTCCCACCCTTCCACTGTCAAAATGGTTAAATATAACCGTCTCTTCTACTCAAACAGCTTCTTCTCTTGCACTTCCCATCTGTGGAACTCCTTTCTTCCTACTTGCTTCTCTGATACCTATAATCTTCAAATATTCAAGTGTAATGTCAATCGACATCTTCAGATGCCTTGATCTTGTTTATCATCCTTCTGTTTATTCCTTCCTCAAGCCTTGAGAGAATTAGCATTAATAATCTCCATAATAATCATCTGAAAAGTAGAAGATATTAGTTAATAAGATTAATCCTTTAGTTTTAAAAATTTAGCTGCCATTAATAGAAAAATATGAGACAGAATGCTGAAAAGTTCTTGACCTGACCAAAAAACATTTTTAAAAAATCTAATCATCGCTCATTTGGCCAGATTTTGGAAAAATAGATTGGGCTGAGAACACTTCAGTACGCCTTTGTAAATCAAATAGTTGATGACTACTAACCTGTGGTGATGTCATGGTTGATATACTTGTTATCGGTCATATTGATTACTTGTATAACTGCATCTTGAATTGGTAACTGAAGCCATGAGGATTTCACAAAACCTTTCAAGCCAATATGAGTCTGCAATTGAATCATTAGCAAAATGAAATTTGATGATCAACAAAATGAAATTTGAATCTTGTTTCAAAGTTCACATTATTTAAATATAATTTTCCAAAATCTTAAAGCTATGGGTTAAATAACAGGATAGAACTGGACTTTCTACCTTTAGATGGTGGCTAGTCTAAGAGAAGAACTATCCTGAATTGAAAATCATTGGGAAAACGAGAAACTACTCATAGCTGTAAACCACTTTCCAAAAATGTCATGACAATTCACAGATAATAATGAAAAGGAATCTGTAGAGAGTTATGATTGTCTATATAATGAAGTGAGTGAAAATTGGTAGACAAAACCATTCAGAAGCCAACTTATCATGGTCAACATTTTAAGTATCCTGGCATTGTTCACATTTCAATCAAGCCAGATTATATAACTTTTCCCAGAAACTGTAACTTTGCTTAGTTACAGTATTAAGCACAAGTTTGTTATTTAGGTGTTGAAAAAGTACAAACGTGCCTGAGTGGTTATCTACAATAAGGATTAGCTAACTACCTTCAAACATGTGTACTCAAAAACAAGTGGCCATTATTATTATTATTATTATTGTTATTATTATATATACATAAATACACAAATTTTAAATTATATAATCCATCAGAACATCATCATATGGATATTTAAACGTGACCTTGTGAAAAGGCAGATTGGGGAAATAAAAGTGATTCTCACTGTCACAGTACATTTCTTGACTCACCTAATTGTAATGTATGGAAAAATATTCATGAATATGAAAAGATTATATTATAAATTATAAATATATATATATATATATATATATATATAATTATTTTTTTACCTTATTATGAAAATAAGGAAAATTAGAAAATTAGCAGGCAATTGCTGATACCTCCTGATAAGTGAACCGAACTGTTATCAAAAGCTTTGTCTACAAAACTCTGGAGTAGGGGGTGCTGAATATAACATCCATTAAATAAGTGACAAATTTTTTTAGTTGTATTTATCCTATATATGTATGTTTTTTAAACAACAAATTTCCCATGATTTCTCTCGAACACTCATATCTGCTCAAAGCGTATCTTAACGTAAACAAATGACATCATATATTATGATATGGACTAAGTCTGATAATTATTTTAATATATTTTCTGTTTATATGTTATTTTTATAGATACAAATATTTAAGTAAATGCTCTGTTTATAATAAACAGTATTAACAACATTTACTGAACGGAACGTCCGAGAAATTTCATAGAAAATATGTGTCCTCTGACAGGAATTGAACCTGTATCATACACAGAACTGTTATAATGTCTGGAAAAATCATGTTTATTTAAATTAGTTCATAAATATTTTTATAAAATTATGAAAAAAATTTTCATAAAACTTTCACAAAATGGTAAATAATAAATACCGCATTATACTTGGTTCACTTTGCTGAGGGAGTCAAAAGTGTATACAGTAATAGCAGAGTCAAGGGAATAACCGTCCTTTGAGTCATTGACTTTTTTTTTGCAGGCACGCAGGTTGAACATTGCCAAATGATTTAAGGAAACTAAGCTGAAATTATTGTAGAAATCAATGATAATAAAAATTCTATACTGACCAATTCCAAAATGTAATTTCATTTGTCTTTATTTGGAATGCATTGTACAAAATTATGAACAAAACCAACAAACAATAGCCCCCCACCCCCCGACTTATCAGTGAGGAATATGTTCTTAGACACCTCCAACCCAAAGCATATGCCTGAAACTTCAGAAATTATTGAACCCTAAATATACTATATTTTTCAAAAAAAGTCAAAAGTGTATACAGTAATAGCAGTGTCAAGGGAATAACCATCTTTTTGACACAGTTTTTTGTGGGTACAAAGGTTTAAACTTTGCCAAAATTTCTTGTGAGATAATGCAAGGACAAAAAATATCTCACAGTCTATTTTGTCTACCACTTCAATGTAGTTAATAAAGTAATCATTATAGAGTTTAATGAGGCTAAACCTCACATTCATAACATTGTTGGGTATTCAACTCCGGACTTTGTCCATTACTGTTAGTGAGTGGGTATGTGGCTTTAGGGCTTTCTCTGAACATGGATTCTACATTCTTGTGAGGATGTAAGAAACTCTACCCTCTCAGGTGGGTGCTTATATATCCTCCTCTGTCATCCATCATTCTGCATGTGAACATTCCAAGCTGGGTAGAGTTGACCACCCATTTACATGCTGGTGGCAGTCGCTGACATCCTGTGAGGCATAGATTTGCACCTGGTGACTAGAAGGTCAACTTTCAGGCCAACCCACTGATACATCTGGATTCTCTGACACATATGTGTAACATTGAGTGTAAAGTCTATTTCAATATCATCTGAGGTGAGTCACTTTCTACAACAGTAACTGATGTAAGAAAAAATATGACTAATTGAAATTATTGCTTACTAAGAACATGAATCATCTGACTATAAATCAGGACTACTTCACAGAAACACAATGAGACAGACATGGTACAGATATTTTGTAGAAATTTCTTTATGCTAGATAATAAAAGGATGATATGCTTACCTGTAGCATATACGCAATAAGGGCATCTTTGTTATCCTTCCAATACCTGGAGAGTTCAGAAGCTTTAGGAAATTTGTTGCAACCCAACTCAAGAGTAATTTCAAAACAGTTCGTCTCCAAATAATTATAGTCTTGCATTCCTTAAAAAGAACAAACAAAATTGAGATAAAAAAATAATGGGTTTGCTTAAAAAGAAAAAATATTTCAATTATCTTCATTCTCCAAGGCCCACATTAGGCATTAGTATATCCATGAGGAGGCACATTGGCGTAATGGATAGTGACTCAGCTTGAGGACTTGGAGAGCTGAGTTTGAATTTCAGTCAAATCCATTATATTCACTTACGTGCAAATACCCTTGGGAAAGGTATGAATCCTCTTCTTCTCCTCCCAGCTATAAGTAAATAGCAGGATAGACCATGTTCTATAGCCTTGGATGGTCTACCACAGAAAGAAATGGCAACTTACTGCAGGGAAAAAATCTGCCTTGTCAGTCATGTATTGAAAGATACATGATCACCTAAGCGTGTATCTCATAAGCGTGTGGCACATAACCGACCGAATCTTATCGATCCTGAAATAGCAAGACAGAACGGATTCTATAGCCTTGGATGGCAACTGGTCTACCACAGAAAGAAATGGCAACCTACTGTGAGAAAAAAATCTGCCTCGTCAGTCATGTATCGAAAGATACATGATTGCCTAAGCGTCTATCATGCATGGCACATAACTAACTGAAATTCACTTACATGCTAATACCCTTGGGAAAGGTATGAATCCTCTTCTTCTCAACCCCCCCCCAGCTATGGGTAAATAGCAGGACAGATCGGGTTCTATAGCCTTAGATGGCAACTGGTCTACCGCAGTAAAGAATGGCAACCTATTGCGAGAAAGTCATGTATCGAAAGATATATGATCACCTAATTACATAAGTAACTGAAAGCCATATAGTAACACCTTAAAAAATGGGAGAAGGACTTGAATAATTCAAGTAAATTAATTCCCAAAAAGAATTACACCTGAAAAAATTTGTATACAGCACTGGAATATACAAATACGCCATACAGTTATATCAAAATTTATCACAATTTGTTCTGCAGAGAAATTATAGCACATAATGAAAAACACAAGCAGTATGTGAAAAGAAGAAATGTAAAGAATAGTCTTTGGAGGGCCACAACCATGCCAGTGATCTCGTTTATGTTTACAATGTATAGCATTCATTCAGTTGCTGACTACCACATGTGCCTCCTTTGAGGTTTAAGCACGGACTGATTACCACTTCTGTTTCTATTGGGAGTTCATCGACAACCTACTATTTTCAAACTGGGATATTGTCATGTGACCCTCAAGATGTTAGTAAATTTGTGCTGTAAAAAGAGTGATAATCACTTTCTGCATTCTTACAAAAAAAAAGCTAACTAGACCATAGCCCTAGACATGAACAGGAGAACAAGAACAATCTATCCCCATAGATTAAATAAAGGGTTCAGTTCAGAATTCCAGAATTTCCCAGCTAAATATAGATGAGGAAGACTGGAGCTGAAACGTTATGATGACAACAACAAAGATGAGGACAATAGTCCGAATATAAATAGTGTAGATGAAAAAAAGCCGATCTGTTTTTAACCAGTCTATTAAAATTATTAAAAATAGTCTATATTAGGGGGTGCTGAAAAATTATTGGCCCAATCCCCAAAACTCTATCCAAACATCAGATATATGCAATATATCATAAATAATATTGTTATATTATGACTAGTCTTACTCTATTTTATTACTGGTCCTAGTTTACAAATCTTGTATCATACATAGTACCCTTATATGAGAGTGGAACTTGGACAGCGAATGCTGAGCAGGAACAGCAGTTCAACACCTTCCTCATGTGCTGCCACTAAGCCATCCTGAACATCACTTGGCAAGACCAACTTCCTAACAACACCATTCTTAAGAGGGTTGGGCTTCCCTAGCTTGCACATCCTCTTAAAGCAAATACACTTTTTACTGCACAGATAGGTCATGTGAATGGACAGCAGTTGAATAAATAAAAACATGAACTCTTGTACAGGGAGTTGGCTTGGGGAAAGCACCGCATAGGCAAACTTCTATGCTGCAAAGATGCCAGGGGAAGAGATCAGAAAACCTGAGGCTTCAACCCAGATATGTGGGAAACCACAGTCTTTAAAAAATTATCCTGGAGGTAGAATAGATATGGTCAAATTGAGTTGATCTCAAAAATGATTTAGATTCTGTTGTTAACTGGGGCAAGAAATGGCTTGTTAATTTGAACATCTTAAAAATGAAACTGCTCTCTTTTATTCATCTCAGAGAACTCTTTTGACTTTCTATCAGCATGGCAACTGCTAACATCCAGGAGAATAACTCTTTGCACCTATTTGAACTAACGTTTTCCACTGACATGAAGTAGAAAGATTATATTGAATCAATTGCTAAGTCTGCTGTTGTGCTAGACAATTTTCTCACCAGAATCTATCTTACATATCGATAAGTCTACCATTTGTCCATGCTTGGGACATTGCAACTATTTATGACCCTGTGTTCATGCTGTATATTTAGAGATTCTTGATGAAATCCAAAAAGAATCTGCAATGCTATTGGTTCTGACCTGGCATCTCAGCTTCAGTTATTTTCTCATCACTATAACATGGCTTCCCTTTGCTTTTTCTATAAATACGTTCATGGTAATTGTTCAGATGAATTTTCCTAACTAGACTTTATGAATTTAAGCACAATACTAGATTGGCAGCAATGTCTCATCAACTCTTAGGTGAAATGGTGGCTAGATGTAACTGTAAGTTCTATGCTAACAGTGTCTTCTATTGTATTTCTCACTTATGGAACTCTGTTCCGGCTTCTTGCTTCCTTGTTAACTTTGCCCTTTAAATATTTAAATGCAATGTCAATAGTAATCTTCTGTCTTCTTAATTCTTGTTCTTTTACTATCCTCTCTCTTTAATAGTGTATTTCCTCCTCATATTGTCTAACACTCAGTAACCCTTTGCATCTTAGCAGCTTTATTGCCTTGATTAAAAAACAAGGCAAAGAAGGGAAGCTCCAAATCTGACAAACAGACAGACAAGCATCAAACATAATCTTCACAAAGTACAAAAGATGCTGCAATTCTTGAATCATCCTCTCAAACTATAATGGATGCTGTACCTGAGACATTATCCAGAGAACAACTTTATGGTCTCCCAAGATTGAGTGATGTTGGATGAACAAATTCTATCTTATTCTGTTGCTTTTTTATCATAACACTCTGGTTCAATACCCTCTTCATAATTATTTTTATTTCATTACTACAAAGGCTGTCGAAAATGGAAGGTGTAAACAGCTACTACTAAAACTTACAAATAAAAGATTGTGCATATGTTACCAAACTGCTATGTCATATAGACAGGATCAACTCATCCTCTTTTGTATTCCATTTGTAAGGATGAAGTTTCACTCAGACAGCTTCTTCTTCAGAACAAACTTTTGAAAGGCTGCTTCTCCAGTAACTATGATATTAACCTCTTCAAGCCTGGAGTTAATCATTATCTATCCTACACATCCTCATAATATGTACTTCTTACTTCTTCCTTTTATGCCATGATAACAAACTCATTCAGTAAACTTCTACCTAGAGTGGCTCTTGGGGCTTGTATTGGGTAAACAAATGTATCAAAAATGCTAAAATTATTACATTTATCTAATCAGTACATAAATCATTGCACCAAGTGACTGTAATGGACTTTGCAACACTGAAACAATAGTATTACTTGTGAGGAACTGATTCCCAGATAAATATTATTTATCAAGATGAGGACATTAGTTTGCAGTGTAAATAATGATAACTCCTCATCCCAGAAATTCAGACAAAAGTCAAATATTAGTTACATGTTTTTTTAAGTCACTTTATCATTTAAAAAAGTTTGTTTAATATAAATAATCATACTTAACTTTTTTAACTTGACAACCAAATATTCTTTATTTCTACTTTCACTTTTTAAATAGGTTTTATTTATGCAACATTGAATTAATTGTATTAAAATTACAGTTACAAAATATGTCATCATAAACAATAATGTCTCAATGATTTTTACTCATTTCTCTTGAATTTTTAATTACATCAACAAGTCCTTAGCCTGAGGGTAAAAAAAAGCATTTATTTTACACAATATATATATATTTATTTTACAACATAATCTTCTTCATTAATGTACTTAGCCTAATGAAAATTAAACACTGAAAATTTAAGTTCAAAATTCACATAATAACACTGTCAGGCTACAGACTTATTGATCCACTCTCTGGAAACTTACCTCTGGACACAGAATACCACTCTCCTCCATTTGTGATTCCATCCTGAACTCCAAAATTCTGATCATTAGCCATTCCACAAGATTTGTGGTTCTTGCTCATATAGCGATGATTTTGAGAATATGCTTCAGCAAGATACCTACAAAAAATATATGTCATTTATTAGGCATTGTTTATTTATGGCACAAGGCCACAGGTATGTTGCACTCAATGACAATCATACTCACTACTCAATAACATCGATTCACAAAACCAGCTTCTTAACCATCACACTACAACAAGGTATCCTATGAAAATTACTGTCTCAATAAATGAAAAATTAGATTACCTAAAAATCAAAAATTAAAATTCTTTAATATATTATCCATATTAATTTTCACCTTGTTGGCTGAGCTCAAGAATATTCAAACTGCATCTCAGTGCAGAGGGGTAACCCCCACTCGAAAGGGCCACCTATTTGCTGTACCTATGTTTACCCTTTTAACTCTTGTGCAAACCAGGATCTCCCTCTATAGGTTTGGCACTCATGCAGAATGTATGTCTACTTAGTTTTATGTCTGAACCTATGTTAGATTTTATACAAACTGGACCAAACTTTTTTTGAACCAAATGGTCTACCTTTTTTTTTGATTCTTGTACAAACTGGATCTATGTCTACCTTTTGAACTTTCATCTAAACTGAATCCATGTCTGCCTATCTACTGTTTATAAAAATGACAGAAATTAGCTTGACATTACCTGGAAAACCAAGCCAAGTCTAAACATTAATTTGTTTGATTCACTCAGGTAAGTATTTCTGTAGAATGCATTGTGTTTTTTAAAACAAGTTTGGGAATTGCAAGTTGTTAATGTGCTATGAATATTATAGCAAATTTTAATGTCATTTAACATCTAATATTCTTCCACAAATTAGTTGAAGAAAATTTGTACTTGTATTAGTGTTTTCTTGAGTGTTCACAAGATGTGTACAATGTATTTGGCTGTCATCCAATATTATTGTCTATGACAAAAATATAAACATACTAACTGATACTTAATGATACCAACTGCAATACAAAACCCAAGGAGAATATGAATTATCAAAAATAATGATGAGGACAATAGTCCAAATATTTTTTTAATAATTTCACTGCAAGCAAGGCAATAATGTTTCTAAGACACAAGGAGTTACTTAGAGAGAAAGAAAATGAGAAAACATTACTGAAGAGAAAGGACAATAAAAGAATCGTATTCAAAAAGACGCAAGATGACACTTGACATTGCATTTAAATTTCTGCAGATCAAACTTGAATGGAAAGTAATACATTTTGGAGGTCATATTTGGTAGGAAAGTGAGAAACAGGAAAAGAGTTCCACAGGTGAGAAGTGCAAGAAAAGAAACTATTAGAATAGAACTTACAATTACATCTATAAATTTCAACTGTAAAATTATGAGACCTAACAGTCAATCTAGTACTATGCTTAAATTCATTAAGTTGAGGGTCCAACGAGGAAAGATCATCGGAACAATTTCCATGAAAACATTTATAGAAAAAGCATAGGGAAGCAATGTTATGGTGGTAGGAAAATGATTAAAGCTGAGATGCCTGGTCAAGATTGATAACATTGCAGATTTTAAATATGAAACTTGCCCATCTCAGAGTTTTAAATATTTTACAATATTAATTAGTAAATAATAACAATATTAATCATGGTAGCAAACAGCGAAATAATTATAATGATTCATCTTGAAATAAATAAAGAATGAGGCCAAAAAAATCGACATAGGTGTCCCCCAAGAGGCTCATTTCTCAGTTCAACTCTCTTTCTCCTGTACATAAATGATCTGCCTAGGAGTATACACAAATCTTTTGTGAATGTCTATGCTGACGATACAGTGGTATATGAGTGTACCTCTAAAACTCTAGACGACTGGAGGCTGGTGACTGATCTCTACTCTGCCCAAGCTCTAACAGATCAGTGGGTAGAAAAACTGGTTGGTCACATTCATTCAAGGAGTTACTTAGAGGTTAAGTCCCAAGAGGTAATCCAGGTCCCTACCTTGAATGCCTCTTGGGACTTAAACTCAACCTAGACTTCAACTGGAACTCATACATACCGGGTGTAGCAGCAAAATTGTCCAAATCGTGTAACATCATGGGATAATTGTCCATCCCACAAAATGTTTAATATTTACAAATCCACTAAACTAATTGAGTTTTTTTTTTCCAAGTTTTCAGATAAGACATTTAGTCATCTTGACAACAATTTGTCATAAGAATCACTGGAAAACCCTTTGAGCTATTCAGCTAGAAAGTGAAAAGGTTAAAATCGTTTTGTGTCAGACTCATTGTCTTCCTAACTGAGCAATCTTAACCTGTTGCAGTCTCCATCCTGGGTATGACTATAAACTACATCCGTATCCTGGGTAAGAGGATAAACTACATCCAGCAGCAAGGCCTCTGATCAGGAGGTTTTGAGGAGCATGGAACCACCTCTTAATTGCTGGTGTTCCCAGGTCCACTCTGACCTGGGGTAGTAGCACCTGTTAGGCTCCCAGCTATGGGCAAATAGTTAACACCCAAACTTTTGTAAAAATAGGTTTTAATACCAGAAATACTTTGTAATAAAAAAATTATTACCAGCAATAATTTTTTAAGGAAAAATTATTATCAGCAATACTTTTAAAAAAATACCAGCAATACAAACAGCTATATATTCTTTGGAAAAAATATGACCAGCTATAGATTTCTTCAAGGAAAAATATTCCCAGAAATAGATTTTTGAAGAAAAATATTACCAGCAATAAAAATTTTGTCGGCATTAAGGTTGATATGCCGTAAAACAAACCAAACCAAACCAAACCTGTTGCAGTCTTAAGTTAACTTTCATATTCATCACATATCACCATAAAACTGGGCTTCTTACTCTGTAACCGGCTACTTTGAGTGGCTCTTGGGCCTTGTACAGAGTGAACATTATTGTTAAAAATATTTTTAAAAAAACAAAGTAAGAAAACAAGATTTAAAAAAAATCTCACCTGAATGTGGCATCATCAGGAGAAATGCTGTATTCTTTTTGTTTGCCACTACGTGTTAAATCGTAAGGATAATTAGCAACAAGATCCCCACCATGAAGATTAGCAGACAAGACAAACGGGTAAGCACTCAACCATTTCATAACAGTCTTTGTTTCAGCCTCAAGCTGCAAAGATAGAAAATATGTTTTTTCCCTTTTTTTTTAAATTGGTATCACCCCAAGCAAGGCAGTACATCCACTAGCATGCGAGGGGTTATAACGTGTGGAGGAATTAGGAACAGAAACATTAATGGGGAGTAAGAAAAAAGAGCAATCAGGAGGACAATAGTGATTGACACTGCATTTAAATTTTTGTAGATTAAAGTTGGCTGGAAAGCATGGAGTCGGGAGGGAGTTCCACAAGTGAGAAGTGTGAGAAAAGAAATTGTTAGCATAGAAGTTCCTGCTACATCTAGCTAACTCAACTGTAAATTTATGAGATCTTGCCGCAAGTTGAGTATTGTGTTCAATGCCATAGAGAAGAGCTCATCTGAACAATTTCCATGAAAGTATTTATAAAAGAGGCAGAGAGAGGCAACCTTACAGCAGTGGGAAAGTGACTGAAGCCGAGCCGCCAGATCAGGACCAATAATATTGCTGATTCTTCTATGGATTTTATCATGGAGCTCAAGGTAAATAGCAGGGTCACTGGACCATATATGGCAGCAATATTCTAAGCATGGACGAATGGTAGACTTATAGATATGTATGATAGATTCTAGAGAGAAAAATTGATTCACACAGCAAAGTGAACCAATCAGCTGATCTAGAAATGGATTCCATATGGTCGTTCCACTTCATGTCAGCTGAGAATGTTAGCCTGAGAAGATGCAACGAATCCCTTTCCTATAGGTTTGTTGATGGAAGGCAGAGAGGGGTCTCTCAAATGATTAATAGAGAGAAGTTTAGTTTTGGAGGTGTTAAAATTAACAAGCCATCTTTTGCCTCAGTTAACAACTAGGCAAATATATAATAAGGAGCAAATGAGAGCCTCAATCTATTTAATCTTTTTTCTAGACTGTGCCCTGTATATATACAAGCACAGGTGTGAAGAGATAGGCACTGATCATTTAGGCATTCCATACCATAACCCACAGTGATAAATATACCAGCAGATACTTATAAAAAAAGGCAGAGAGAGGCACCCTTAGGGTGGTGGGAAGTAACTGAAACTGAGATGCCAGATCAGGACCAATAATATTACTGATTCTTTGGATTTTATCAAGGAGCTCTAGATGACAGCCATATTTTAAGCATGGACAAATGGTAGACATAGATATGCAAGATAGATTCCAGAGAGAAAAATTGTCTTGCCCAACACAGTGAACTGACTTTTTTAGCAGCTGATCTAGAAATGGATTCAATATGTCAGCTGAGTACATTAGACTAAGCAGGCACAATAAGTCACTTTCTTAGAGGATAGCATCAGCTATGCTGATGGAAGGTATGGGGGGGTCTGTCATTAAAGATGAGAAGAAAAATTTTCACTTGGTTCACATAGCAAAAAAATCTTAATTTTTGCCAATATCAAAAATTTATAAAACTGCAGATAAAAAATTATTATCTAAAAATAGAAGAATTGTCACAACAGAAAGTAACACATTTACACACAAATATAATACATAATTATGATTGTCACTGCAATATTTTGTTAAAGTTGTTAAGCTCAAATAATTTGTAGGAATATTATTATTGTTACAATAATAATAATGAAAATGAAAATTATAAAGAAAATAAAATGAAACAATAATATTTAAACCTTGTTTAAAATAAATTAAATAAAAAATTAAAAAAATTACTCCCAGCATGCAACAAAAATTGTTCCTGCTGGAAATATGGACCTCCCACCAAATGATGTGAGATTCAATCTCTTCACCCAAGAACTATCAGGAAGACAACACGTGTGTAACTTCCATCCATGATAGGACTTACTCGCTTTCAATGAACATTATCACAATTGTAATGTAAAACAAACAAACAAACAAACACACACACACACAAATAAAATTGTATGAAATTACTACACAATTTCTCATGCCTTCTCTGTATTGGGCACATTAATTTTTCCTGTTTTTATCTTCATGACAACAGGCCTAAAATTCTACTACAACTATCCACCCACCCCCATGGTGTGAGTGAATACCCCACAAATCCATGAAGCAATAGAAGAATTTCTACAGGTATTTTATAGTCATGGATCTCGCAAGGAGATTATTCAATCATTAACTTAAGAATTAAGATTCATCTTAAAATTCAAACAGAAAAACTGTGAAGTTTCCACAGGTATTTCTAACCGTTATTAAATCTTTCAATCATATTTTATCAAAAGGTTTCTCAAATCCAATAGCTGTTATCTCTCTTTTCTGTGTAAAAGGAGGTTTCCTTTCTAACCTTTTGTTTGAATTGTGTGGAATATCAATATCTTAATTATGTCATTATTTTCACTTTGAGTTACTTGTGCTATCCATTTTAGTTGCTGCCATTGTTGAAATGATTTGTCTTCTGTTATTTGGTAAATTCTTTATTTGATTCTGTAGTGCCAGTCACCAAGGTTCAAAGATGGCTGCTCCCATTCTATGACCTTCATTTGCTCAAAGCTATTCTTAACCATTGATCTGAGAGCACAGTTGTATACAGCTGACAGTTTAGGTATTTCTGAAAGAGTTTGGTATGACATCGATATGAATGTGTTGATCCTCGGACTCTATTTAAGAACCTGACTCAAGGTTTTAGGTTAATGTCTTTTATACTTACATCCGGGGTGTTCAATGCATACTTGAGCTTTTCAAGGTGGTTGTTTGGACCATGACTGATTTCATTTTCATACATGATGTTGTTGAGATCAGGAAAGTTTCGGTTCAAGTCAACATTATTTGCATTTCTGCGTCCAATCAACCAATCTTTGGTGCCATCCTAAAAAGAAAACAAAATAAAAACGTAGAATACATAATCAATTGTAACTTGCAATAAGATAAAAAAAATAATACAACTTCTCAGGTACCGTTCCAGTAATCCTGTCACTAAACAATCTGGTGTCCAAGTGAGGACTTGTACTTGACCGCTATTTCAGGCAAACCACATGTGTAACCGAAACGTTGTGATAACAACAAAACAAGAGACAATAGTCCTGTTATGGGACCTTACCCATAATAACAGAATGGACTAGCCCATACATAATAAATACTGCACCTCAAGAGGAAGCAGAGAGTTCCATCTGAAGTCTGGAGTGAGGTCCGTCAGAGCGAGTGAGTCAGTCAGTTGAGTCAGAGGCAGTCCGAAACAAAGTTGCATTCAGACAATTAACACTTCTTTCTTCTCTGTATATATTCCTGTTTGTAATATATCTGTGTTATTCCATATCTGTATTCGAGTTCTTCTTTATTGGTTCTACCTTGGACTATCACCGTGGTACAAGGAACAGGACCATAACAAGTTCGCATGCAAATAATGTAATATTTACTCACTTTTTGACAGTACAATTCAATGGTTCTTAACCTTTAGGGAAAGTAATCCAAAATCTTATTAAAAATTTTATTCTTTTAAATAAAGTTTATTCCCATTCATTTTATTCAGTGCATTTTTGTGGCGCTGTGGTCACTACTAACAATTGTGGTTCATGGTAATATTCAAAGAAGAATAAAGCAATGGCTTTCTGGTTTTACACAGGGGATGTTGAGGTTACCAAATCCCTCCTCTCAGAAGCGGATTTGTTTCTGAAGTTAATTTCTTCTAGCATTTACCTAAAGAGGCAGGACCTACAAGGCAGCAGGTGATTTGAATTTAGAGTTTCCTTCTCCTAGACTGGTTGCCACCTAAGGCTGTAGAACCCAGTTTGTCCTGCTATATTGCCCATAATTGGGGGGAGAAGAGACGGATTTATTGCTTTCCCAAGGATATTAGCGCATAAGTGAATTTAAGGAAATGAAATTCAAACTTGGATCTCTGATTCAACAATTGGAGCTAAGTATTACTCCATTGTGTCTGTGTTTAAAATACTGGTTATTATTAAAAGTGATAATTTTTCTTTTTAAAAATTCAGCCTGTGCCAATCCCAGCTTTGTGATAAGGTACAATGAATCCCAAATCCATTATACCAGGTTCTGTTTGGACATTTCGATGTGGTGGAATGGTTAGCAAGCTCGTCTTGCTGGATCAATTATGACAGAGTAGTAAGTTAGATCCTCACTTGGTACCCTATACTCTTGGCCTTGTGCCACAACTAAGCTATGCTTAGGAAATCACTATACCAAGGTCTGTAATTTATTTCAGATAATATTCTTGTCTACTGAAAGAACACATATTTACTCAGCCTTAGAGCGTGATGTAACCCCCACTTCTATTTTAACAGTTTCTTTTCTCGCACTTCTCAACTATGGAACTCCCTTTAGATTTCTTTCTTTTCTGCCAGCTACAATCTTCAAAAATTCAAATACAAAATCAATTACAATCTTCTATCTGTTTTCATTAATTGTCCTTTTCTCACTCCTCCCCACTAAATTCTTCTCATTCTCTTTCACTCTTTGTAACCCCCCCCCCGGGTCCTAGTGGCATTATCACTGTTGTGTTGTGTTGTTTTATGGTATATGATCAGCAGTCGGCTTCTTGCCTGTGTCTTACTTTACTATACACAATTTATATCACTTCTACTTAACATATGTAAATAGGTACAATTCTATTTACCAATCCACTACACCTCCCCACCCCTTGAACCTAAGAAGTTAATGCCTTTTGTTCTCGAGCTTCTTCTACAACTTCTTTCCTCCTCTCTCTCTTGAGGTTTATGTCCTGTTCTTTTTAATCACCTTATTTAATTAATTAAAATTAAAAATCACCTTACTTAATTAAAATTAAAAATCACCTTACTTAATTAATTAAAATTAAAAATCTTGGTTGGATATGTGGCTAGTGTAATAGTCAGCAACCTGAAATTGAATTCCAACTGAGTTCACGGTGTTCCTTTTCATACAAATACCCTTGGGAATAGTATAAATTTATTTCTTCCTCCCCCCCCAGATATGAATAAAATAGAAGGGTTAACTAGGCTCTCTTGCCTTGATATGGCATCCGATCTAGGAAAAGGAAAAAGCTGAATTCAAAACCAGCTTGAACTTATCCGAGACACTATTTTTTTTTTAAAGCATTTCACCCCAAGCAAGATGGGAGTGCCACTAGCACGCAAGGGGTTACAGAGGATTGAGAACAAGAGTAAAGAGGTGTGTTTGAGGAAAGGACAAAGAGAAGGACGGGGATCAGGATCAAGGCATCAGAAGATGTTGATTGACATTACGTTTGAATATTTGAAGATTATAGCTATCAGGGAAGCAAGTAGGAGGAAGGGAGTCCCCATCTCTGTCCCATAATGATTATTCAATTTACATACAAACTTCATAGACTAAATGGAACAATCATTATGGGACAGAGGTAGAATAATATAGAAAAATGGCTACTTTAATAATCAGATTAAATTGAAGAGGAGAGGAAACATTTTCTTTTTAAGCATATCACCACTAGCACACAAGGGGTTACAGAGAGTGAGAGCAAGAGTAAAGAGGCGTGATAGAGGAAAGGATGAAGAGAAGGATAGGGGAATAGATCAAGGCATCTGGAGATGTCAATTGACATTACATTTGAATACACTATTTACATTATTTGGACTATTGTCCTCATCTTTGTCACCATATTTATCACAACGTTTCGGCCAATGTACGCTCCGGCCTTCTTCAGGTGGTTGGAATGTTGAACCATGTTTTGCCATGTTTAATGGATGTCAATTATCAGTTATTTCCTGTTAATTCCCCTCTCCATGTTCTCCACTGCCTTAACCGGGTATTGAACTTACACTCTTTTTGTCCTGTCACTGGATCTAACCAACACCTTTATCCACTGTCCCATGTGTCAGTTCAACATTCGAACCATCTGAAGAAGGCCAAACCATTGTAATAAATATGGCGACCAAGATGAGGACAATAGTCCGAATAATGTAAATAGTGTACATAATACCTTATCTCAGAAATATAGACAGATACATTTGAATAGGTGGAGATTATAGCTATCAGGAAAACAAGTAATAGGAAGGGAGTTCCACAGATGGGAAGTGTGAGGCGTGAAGCTATTGGGGTAGAAGAAATGGCTACATTTAACCATTTTGACAGTGAAAGGGTGGGACTGAGATGCCAATCTAGTAGCACGTTTAAATTCATGAAGTTTGGGAACTAGCGAAAGTAGCTCCTCAGAGCAGTTGCCATGAAAGTATTTGTAGAAAAGACAGAGGGAGATGCCAGATCAGAGCCAATCACATTGCACATCCATCTCTGGATTTTGTCAAGGACCTTAAAACGAACATTGCTGATACAGCTGTCATACATGTGGTGCCCCTATAACCCTCATGGGTTATGGGACTCATAATACGATATCTGAATAATGTAAATACTGTAAATAGTTACAATACCTCATCTGCAAAATATTGACAAACCCCTAGCATTTAATCTGATACTAATCACTGGATTATCCTCTTAATACAATTAAATACACACTAGAAAGATTTTGCTGCCTGATTAAGTTGAACTGATGCTTATATAAACAAATTCTCAGGTTCTCTGCTAACAGGAAGCAAACTCACAGTCAAGTTTGTATTGTTAAAAAATAAATGCAAATTTATAAGAATTTAGGTTTTAGATTAAGCAAGCAATTTCATTTTCTGCTAACTTTCAGAATAAAAAGATGCAAATCTCTGTTTATTTATTAGGCAAGAATGAAAAAGAAGAAATAAAAGCAAAGAAAGTACAGTTGTCAGTTTATTTTTCTTTTTATGTCCATTGTTTAAGACGTGCAAAGAATAAATAAATGTTATTGAGAAAAACAAAAAGGGAAAAAGTGTTTCAGAGAAAATCTGCATGCAAGGCATAAAGATAATTTTATATCCTGTATCTAAAAAAAATGCGACAAAGATTTGGAGAAAGGTCAACAGAGGTTCATTTTTATTTTCCCAGAATATTTTACATGAGACAGCTTACCTTTCATTTGGTTTGCTTATTAAAGTGACAATTATTTTGACAAAAAAGTGGTTCCATTCTTCAATATTGCTGCATTTTTAATTGTCTTCAAGAATATAAAATGTTTTTTTTTTTTAAATCATTTTACCCTAAGAAAGGTAATAAAGTCACTAAGATGCAAATGTGAGAGAATATGAAAAAAACAAAAAAACAGTTAGGGAGAAAGAGCAATAAAAGAACAAGAATTAAGAAGACAGAAAATAACAATTGACATTGCTTTTAAATTTTTAAAGATCAAAGGAAATAAAGCCACTAAGATGCAAGGGGTTACTAATTATTAGAGAATATGAGGAAAAAACTATTATTAAGACAAGAATTAAGAAGACAGAAAATAACAATTGACATTGCTTTTAAATTTTTGAAGATCAAAGGCAATAAAGCCACTAAGATGCAAGAAGTTACTAATTTTTAGAGAATATTAGAAAAACTATTATTAAGGAGAGAAGACAATAAAAAAACAAGAATTAAGAAGACAGAAAATAACAATTGACATTGCATTTCAATTTTTGTCAATCAAACTTGACTGGGAAGCAATAAGCCAGAAAAGAGTTTCACAAGTGAGAAATGCAAGAAAAAGAAACTGTTAGCATAGAACTTATGGTTACAAACCATAACCATTCAAACTCAAAAACAATGAGATTTTACTGGCAATCTAATAATGTGTTTAAATTCATAAAGTCTATGTAACATAGAGAGTTCATCAGAACGATTACCATGAAAGTATTTATAGAAAAAGCATAGGGAAGCTATGTTATGACAATGGAAAAGTGACTGAAGCTGAGATGCCAGGTCAGGACTAATAACATTGTAGATTCTTTGTATTTTATCAAGAATCTCTAAATATATAGCAGAAGCATCTAATACTGTTGCAAATTAAATTAAAACTTAACATCTATTTTAAATCACTAGTGTTCTGAAAAAGAGAGTTATTCCTGTCCTCACAAAAACTAAATCATAATTGACTTGATGGTGATTAAGTTTATTTATTTTATTATGAAATGTCACATAAAACAGCTTATATTTTCTTTGCAATAAACTGATGATACTTTTACTGCTACATTGTTATAGCATTTTTGTATGGCGGCACTGGCCCAATTTGGGAAGAAAAGGAAATTACTATTTATTGAAAATATCTATATATAAAATGTTGACATTGATTTCTCATGGGAACTGTCATTTTCATTAGATAATCTGCAGTACAGATATAGTTAAACAACATTTCTAATATACAATATAATAAAAATGTATGAAAAATGTTGCATCATATACTAGTATATATATATATTTATATATATATATATATGTATATATGCTAGTATATATGTACCCTGGATTAGAAATAGCACAAAGAACTAATTAGTATATAACACAATTGTTAAAGGACCAACATTATATGTCATCTTGAAAAGTTGTTTGTGTATATATATATATATATATATATATATATATATATATATATATATATATATATATATATGGCCAGGTGGCTGAGTGTTTAGAATGTTTGCATTCTGACCATGAAACCTGGGTTCAAATCTCACCATGGTTGATTTTTCCGGAAGGAGACTTCCTGTTGTTATCGAACTGGAGGGGTCGATCCCAAAATGTGGAACCTTTGGAAAGTGCCTGAAAACCATACCACAGGTTGACCCAAGCCTTGTGAGTAAAACTGGCTACCCAGAATACTTGGGGGCCATCAATAGCTGTGCTAGCACAAAGTCACAAGTCATCGTGGCCGAGGGCTTGAGCGTGCTGGCCTTGTTCAAATTGTTGATCACGCTAGATAACACACTCTTTCCCATAAACTGTAACTAAGGTCTGCTCAGCATAGTTGCAGTATAAACCACAGGTAGACTCTGTGGGTGTTGAATAAACACAAATGTGCCTGAACAAGCATCTGCAACAGGGATTGGCTAGCCAGCTTAGTAGATGGGTATCCTTGAATACAAGTGGCCACCTATATGTCAACTATTTACTCCTTCTTAATAGTGAGTTTGATCGGTTCAATGAAGTCAAATTGGCAGATGACCTAAAAAATGACCTACCATCTGTTGTTAACTGGGACAAGGAATGACTTGTTAATTTTAACACCTCCAAAACGAAACTTCTCTCTTTTAATTATCTGAGAGAATGGCATGTGCTAACATCCAGGACAGTGACTTGTTGCCCCTTGTTGGGTTAACGTTTTCTGCTGATATGAAGTAGAAAGATTATATTGAATCAACTGCTTGATCTGCTTCTAGGAAAGTTGGTCCACTGTGCAATGCTAGATAATTTTCTTGCTAGCATCTATCTTGAATCTTAAGTCTACTGTTTGTCCATGCATTGGTCTTGTCTGGTCTGGTGTGTCCGGTATGTATGTTTTATTGCCTTGTTCTGTGTGATTTGAACAATCTGACAAATGCTCAACTGCATTAACCACTAAACTATGAAAACTTGACAACTTTTGCAGAAGATCAAATCTAATGTATAATAAACCTATCACTCCATTCAATAACCATCTTTTGACATCTTTTTGACATCTTTTGCAGAAGATCAAATCTAATGTATAATAAACCCATTACTCCATAAAATGACCATCTTTTGAGGTCTTTTTGACATCTTTTGCAGGAGATCAAATCTAATGTATAATAAACCCATCTCTTCATTCAATGACCACTCTTGACACTATATTTGCTTACATTTTTACACTTGTTATATTAGGAGCAGTATGATTATTTTTTTATTAAATAAAGCATTGTCAATTATTACCAGCTTGACTGATGTAGTGGGCCCTCTTATATCAAATAAAAATGCAATAAAAAAACAAACAGACAATTGTTGCAGTAATAAAAAGAAATGAAAACTTTATATAATCAACTGCACACTACAAGTTCAATAAGAAAGGATATTTTCAAAGCTAAAAATCATAAAGACAGTTTTATGAATTTTGCTGCCTGGAGAGAATTTGGAATCATGCATGTTGCTATCCATTAAAAAGGAATGGTTAGATGAATTGAATTCAGAAACAATTATTGGCAGATTTGAACAATCATCAAATGAACACAACTAATTGCTCTTAAGATAGCAGACTACATGCAATGCTCTATTAAGATTTTGAATGATCTGTTAATATGTAAATTGTTTGCTAATATGATGAGTAATTTAACATTTTTTAAATAAAAAAAATCACCAGCTACAAGGCTCGAAAGTCACTCAAGGCAGAGAGTTACTGTTAAAAGGTTTATGATGGATGATGTGTGATATGATTAGAAGAGAATCTGGAAGGAAATTAAGATTAATTTGAATTAAAATGATTGCTAGACTTACTGGCTTCCTGTGATTGGTGTTTGCCAATTCCCAACCATCTGGATTCATTGAGGGCATCAAATGGATCCGTGTGTTGTTTATAAGCCACTGGATTTTATGATTGTTTGCATTATATTCTTGACACAAATAGACAGCCAGGTGCAATAATAATTCTCGACCAACGACTTCATTCCCATGCATGTTGGCAACATATTTGAACTCAGGTTTCCCTGAAAGAAGAAGCAAATTAGAAAATGGCAGATGAAACAAGAATCAATGTAAGCATTTGAGCCCAAGCTTTCCTGTTATGTGAATCAAAAAAGAAAATGACAGATCAGACAAGAATCAATGTAAGCATTTGTACCCAAGTTTCCCTGTTATGTGAATCAAAAAAGAAAATGGCAGGTCACACCAGAATCAGTATCTGAAAAAAATAAAATAAAATAGAAAAAACAGTAAAATAACTCACACATTCATGCAACTCTAGAAAGCCCAATCTACACTTCTATTTAAGCCATAGCCAGTGGCAAAAGGTGTAGATTCATGCCTCTGGCAAGGCCAAAGTGAATGCAGCAGAGTCATTTGGAATTTGAACTTGGCTTACCAATTCCATTTTCAATACTTATATTCCTTTATATCACTCATATATATTTCACCTTAATTAAAAAGAGATCCTCAATTAAACAATCTCAACTCAAAACAAACAACTGCTAACTGTAATTATCAACAAATTTGTACAATCATCTAGTGAACACAAATGATTGTTTTTAATATAGTGGACTGCATTGTGTTTTTGAATTATCTGTTAATATATAAATTATGCTGTAAACTATTTAAAAATATCAACTAATTACTTAAAATTAAAAAGAAATAAATAAAACATCCAATTATAACATTCTGTATTTACAATTGGTATCTACTGTCAGTAATATATACACAGTACATGTACATTGTAATTATTAAAAAAATGCACATTTTTTTCTACAAAAATTTTAATCGTACCCTTTTTGCCATATGTATTTTTTGAAAATTAAATGATAGCATTTGTAGTTGTAAGTGAACCCCTTTGTCTCCACTTATTATTATTAATTTTTGACTAGTATTTACTTGTTTTGCAGACTATTAGTAATGTAGTAAGCATAACCACAAATTCATAACCTTGTGCCAGACTAAGCTCAGTAGATAACTATTGGGACACTTCACTGTGGGATTGTATTCAGCAAGCTCATCCCACACACGCCAATATTACTGCTGTGAGTTCAACACTCAATGGATGGATACCCCTTGCTAGTTGTCTTGTGCCAGACCAGGAGTGGGGAACCTGCAGACTTAATGCCACATGTGGCCTTCTGGGTCATCACATGCAGCCTTCTGCAACTTTTGAGCTGGGCTGTGGAGCCAGATAATTTAGAAAAGTTGGAGCTTCAACTCCCTAAACTAAAAGTTCACAATAAATTTTCCTCTTTCTCAGCAATAATTAAATTTATCCTTTTGAGCTTGTGTTACTGATGATCAAAAATACATTTACTAGAGTGTGGTTGAGTTGACTAAGGTTTCTTCTTAACTTGGAACCATTAAGATCTTTGTAGCAAAATTATATATTATCACACTAATATTATTCTGCTTGTAACAACAGTCTTTGTTAGTGACTTAATTAATGACGTGTCTGTTGCTTACGCCTTGGCTCACTTTTCACCTCCAACTTACTAACAATTTCAGCTGACTGTTTTCGTTATCTTCTTTTTCTTTCTCTATGAAAAGAAAAACTCAATAAAAACATTTTAAGCAAAAAAAAAAAAAACAGCAAAATCATAAGTACTGTATGAAAAAAATTAAATTATTTTTAGCTTGAACAAATACCACAAAATTCAAACAATCTTTTATCAGTGTTTATATTTCATTTTTTTTTCATACCTTAATATGACTATTGTAGAGAGCAAAAAATAAAAAAAATAAAAATAAAAGTTTCCCAGTTTGACTAGCAAAAACACCAATTCAAGAAAAGAAATTCACGTCTAGGTGTGAAGTAAATGTTCAACCAATGGGTGATTTTGCTTTGAAGAAATGAGAGAAACAAAGAAGCAATACTTGAACCTTTTTTAGAAATAAATATTCAGCCACTGAGAAGCATCACTTTTGGGAAATTTGAGAAAAAGAAAAGAAAGAAATTCATGAGCTGGTGTGAGAAAATAAAGTGTCATATAAACAAAGTGCTGACAACAGACAGAAGACAGTAAAAAAAAAAAGAAAAAGAAGAGACTTGGAGGCAAATATAACTCAACTTGACCTTTCAAAATCTGGATGACAAATTTATTTCTATGACCCAACTTACAAAGAAAAACTTCTACTACACACCAAGAACCTTAACTGAATGAAGGACTGCTGTAATATAAAAAAAAAATTGAATTCCATTCCCTTTGACCAATGAAGAACACTGCTTGGTAAAATTATACTACCAGCCTACTTACTACTTCTATACCTGAGTAAGTAAATATTTTCAACATTGACTCTTTTCATCTAGCACCTTTTAAATACTAATCATACACAACTTCAATTAACAATGAACTTTATATTTTTGAATATTATTTATTCTTTGGAATTTTCATTAAAACATTGAACTTATAATTAACAAAGGATAATTGTGTTGTACTAAAATTTGTTACTAACTTTATATTGTTATTAATAATTGATTATATTATAATCAATAATAAGAGATTAACAAAGGTAGAGGTATACTCATTAGAATCTAAATTAATGGCTGTTTAATATGGCCTATGAATAGCAATGAACAAGGTCTACTTTCAGTAAGGGATATCAATCATTACTGTGGGACTAGCATAAGCTGGAGCCAAAAATTTTAAAAATGTCTGAGCCTGAGCTGGAGTTGAAGATTTAGATATCAGCTCCACATCAGTGTTTTTCAGCAGTGTTTCCAGGTTCTTATAACCATATTATACTATGCAAGCATTCAAAATTTCCCTTTCCAACATAAATTTTCCATTTCTTATTTGAGGATATAAAACAACTTTAATAATAATGATGATGTCCACATATTTTTAACTGCTCATAGTATCTTTACTAATTTTGATTATGTATATTGATCTCTGATGCATATAATTAGCCTGATTTTCAATAACAACAATGCATGAATGAAGGACTGTTGTAATATAAAAAAAATCGAATTCCATTCCCTTTGACCGGCAAAGAATGCTGCTTGGTAAAATTATACTACCAGCCTACTTACTATTTCTCTACCTAAGTAAATATTTTCGTATGCATTTCATATGCATATATAAGCCTAGTCCTTTGTGTTTGCTAATATTTATCATTTCAGAATAAAATCATTTCTCTATCAACTTTAACCCATTATATCCAAAAAATAAAAACAAACTTTGAAAGAAAATAGGACCTTCAATGAGCATTACAATATTTTTTAGTGTCTTGCTTGCTTTGTGTTATGGTCCAGTTCCTTGTACCACGGTAGAACCAATAAAGAAGAACTTGAATACGGATATGGAATAACACAGATATATTACAAACAGGAATATATACAGAGAAGTAGAAAGAGTTAGTACGAACAATCAGTTTTAGTAGTAATTGTCTGAACGCGACTTTGTTTCGGTCTGCCTCTGACTCGCTCGCTCTGACTGACAGACTCCTGACGGACTTCACTCCAGACTTCAGACTGAACTCTAGACTTCAGATGGAACTCCCTGCTTCCTCTTGAGGCGCAGTATTTATTATGTATGGAATAGTCCATTATGTTATTATGGGTAAGGTCCCATAACACTTTGTGATACTGCAATTTCAACAGTTAAGAAATACAATGCACATCAGCATTATGTTAAAATGGAGGATGAAAGTCAAAGGGTTACACTGAGACATTCCACATCAAATCAACAAGGGTCTGACCATCACTGACACTGATTTGTTTTGTAATTTACTACACCTATAGAGCTTCATGATAAAAATTTTATATCGCCAAGTGAAAGGGTTCCAGAGATATGACCCTTTGACACTTGCTAAAAAGGTGAATTTCAGAAAATAGTCAAAATGTTTAAATATCAATATTTCAGTTGTTATTATATAATTATATACCATTTTAAAGTACTTGGATGCATCTAAAAGGTAATCCATTTATTTGAGGCTATAAAACAACTTTAATAATAATGATGATGTTCACATATTTTTAACTGCTTGTAGTATCTTTACTAATTTTGATTATGTATATTGATCTCTGATGCAGTTAATTAACCTGATTTTCAATAACAACAGTGCATATATAAGCCTAGTTCTTTGTGTTTGTGAATATTTATTAATCTTTTTGCTAATATTTATTTATTATATTAATTTTAACTCATTATGCCCCCCAAAATTAAAATGAACTTTGAAAGAAGAAAATAGGAACTTCAATGATGAATGGGAATTGCAATATTTTTTAATGTTGTAAAATGTCTTGCTTTATGATACTGCAATTTCAACAGTTCAAAAATACAATGTGCATTATGCTGTTCATAAAGACAATACATATACTAAATTGGAGGGGGAGAAGCTTGAATGATTGCACTGCAGAAACTTAAGGATGGAAAGCAAAAGCAGAGATAATTATTCTTTTCTGTATTATATTCATGAAATGCTGCAACAGAAGCAAATTATAAAGTTGTATATTTGCTTGTGAAAAAAAAGCTAAACCGTTCAGCAATGCAAAGGTCATAAATAAATGCATTTTAGAAGTTGTAAAATGTTTAGATGTAGATAAAGTTAACAAATACGGAAATGTGTTTTTTTTCAAGAAGGACAAATACAGATTAACAGTATGAATTGGTCAGTCATGTTACAGAGCAGCTCCAAAATATAATAAAAAAAGACAATGTATATTTCTCCTTAGTTTTAGATGAATCAACCGATTCCACTGATTTGGCACAAGTATTGTATTTCATTCATGCAATAACTGATAATTTTTCAATTATTTGAAGAATTACTTATTTTAAGCACACTTAACGGAAAGACGAGGAATAGATATTTTTAATAACTTCAAATAGAAATGTCATAAAGTTGGGCTGAATCTTATTAAATTGGTAAGTGTGTCTACTGATGGTGCTCCAGCTATGATGGCTAAAATTGAAGAATTCATTGCATATCTAAAAAGAGAAATCACAGTTCCAAATGCTCTGATTTCTTTCTATTGCATTCTGCACCTGCAACATCTCCATGCAAAATCTACTATTTT